TAGTTATAGTTATAGTTATAGTTATAGGTATATAACACAACATATATAGCTATATGTTGTGGCCCAGCAGGAGCCGTTGGAGCTGCCGATGGACTCTGATAGCGAGGAACCCTATGAGTCTGCTATGGAAGATGTGGAGGACCCTGGGCAGGGTTCAGACTCTGAGCAGGGACCAGAGAAGCTGGTTGGCCACCAGGAGGCACCTGAGGCATGGAGCAGTGGGGAAGATCAAAGGGAGTTTTTCCCTGACGCCAGGCAACGAAGGGCGGAGAAACGAAGGCAGCTGTTACAGAGACAGAGTCATAAGAGATAATCAAGCCCAGGTGGTTGTGGCTTGGCTCCTCCCAAGAGAGTATATATGAAGAGACTTTGGGAGGAGACCTTTTGCAGGACACAAGCGTTCATAACAAGCTGGAGAAGCTCTTGTTTGTACTGTAACTCTTATCTGTGGGAATCTGGGTTGCTGCCAATGTCTTGCCTGTGAGTCGTGTGTGGGCTGTGAATAAAGCGTGGCTAACAGTAAGCCTGTGTCGGCATTAATCACCAGATGGAGGGGGATCAGAACAGCCATGTAACTTTGAACCGTCACTCAACGAATGGTTGTAAGTCAAGGGCTACCTGGGATGAGGTGATCCTTTGCTAAAGAATCAGCACCATTGTGGTTGTGTACCTGGGGCTATCAGTACATCTGAGTCCTTTCAACAACAGCTGCTTATGAAAAAAATGAGTCTTACATACCGTATTTTTCGGAGTGTAAGACGCAGCAAGGTTTTGAAGAGAAAATTTTTTTAAAAAGTTTTTGCACTCTACAAACCTCCCAAAAACAGTCCGTTTTTCCCAAAAATGGGCCTGTTCTTTTTCTTCAAAAAAAGGGCATGAATAGCCCTTATGAGGCTTGTAAAGTGCTCCCAGGGGAGGGGGGCAAAAATGAGCAAAAAACGGTCCATTTTTTGCCAAAACGGGCCCATTTTTTGTCAAAAAAAGGCATGCATAGCCTTTAGGAAACTTATAGAGTGCTGCTGGGGGCTGGGGAGGCAGAAAAAGGGCATTTTTCACTCATTTCTGCCCTCCCCAGCCCCCAGGAGCACTGAAAGCCTCCTACAGGCTCTGCACGGCCATTTTGGTGAAGAGGCGGAGTCTCGGGAGGCAAAAAAATGCTGTATTCAATGTATAAGATTTTCAGCCTCTTTTTTGAGGGAAAAAGGTGCGTCTTATACTATGAAAAATACGGTAGATACAATCAGCATAAATTCTATCCAAAAATCACATGCTCCACCCTTGAAATTTAAGCATCACTCTTGGATCATTTGCTGTTTGTTTGCTTTTTATGGGAATTGGGCACTTCCCAAGTAGCACTTCTTGAAAGCAGGAAAATAGATAGATAGAATTCGGCCTTACCATTAATTTTATTTTGAATTTTAGTGACGTTCAGAACAAGGCTCTCTGCTTGCTGATAGGTCTCCTGGGTAACATCCATCAGGCGGTTGGCTTTTCTATGGGTCATTGTTGCCTAAAAACAACATTGTCGGTTTAGATAACATTGAAAAGTTACAGGGGTAGGCCAACAATTTGCAACCATTGGGAAGTTTGCTGAAAGACAGTTGTGAGTTCAGCTTATTTTCTTCAGAAGATTAATTTAAGATCACATTGTTGTCCCAGGTACACAGCTGTAATAAAGTAATATTTTAAGAAAGGTTTTATAGGTCATTGTTGATGGACCACATGATAAGTCTTTAGATTCCCGGTGGAATCCAAAGGAATTTGGCTAAAATGTTAAGCAACCAAAGTTGCTTGAACACGCCATGTTCTCTTTTCTCCATTGTTTAGGGAACAGTCATACACTTTTGCCTAATATTAAGAGCAGTTTTGACAGTGAAGTTAATTACTCAAGGAGGGGGAGGACCAACTATGAGTTCTAGTTCTGCCTTAGTCATGAAAGCTGTCTGGGAGACCTTGGGCCAGACTCTCTTGGCCCAACCCATCTCAAAGATTTGTTGTTGTGGGGAAAATAGGAGGGAGGATTTCATACTAGCTGATAAACTGCTGTTGCCTGGGTATTTATTTATAGGGAGAAAATGTCCGGACCAAATGTAATTTCTAATGTTGGATTTTCCCTCTTACCAGAGAGAGCGCCCTTATGGAGTACTGTGAAGCCGTTACCATGGGAACTCCACTGCGCTGTACAGTAGAAGCCATTTTAAGGCAGTACAGTAGAAGTCATTTTAAGGCACAACAGGCTGTATTTTAACAGAACACACACCCTGAGGGGCATTAGGGGTGTCTTACCCCCACAGTGTTTTTTTTCCAGAGAGTAAGTCATCTGTGTATCAAGTTTGGTTGAAATTACTTGAGTTATGCTGGAACATACATACACACAGATATATGTGTTATGTCAGCCCAGGTTCAAATCCCAGTAAGGATATGGCTAGCTGACGAGAACTAAATAGCTTGAAATAGGTCTATACTAGTCTCCCTTTATTTATTTATCAGCACAAATGCAACACGCACCCACTCACACACACACACACACACACATTCACCACATAGTTAACTTATAAAAGTCAAAAAGGTGGGATATAACTCAATCAAACAAACAAACAAACAAACCAGTAAGTAATTCTCCTTCTAGAAAAAAAGTGGAGGCATGCTAGATCTTGCAACTCGTTGCTTGATGATGCTCAAATAAACAGCACCAGATAGCTTTATCTTCGCCCTGTCATAAATTCAGATGTGATTACATCTTTGTGCATGAGAAAAGATATCCCTGGCTATTTCCCCTTGTAGGTTTTCAAGTGAAGCATTGATTTCTGAAACTACAAGAGAAAGATCTCTTTTACAGATAGAGTATCGTCACAAGCAAAGTTAATCTTGTCCAGACAGTTTTGGTCACCACATTACAAAAAAAGACTTTGGAAAAAGTGCAAAGAGGAGCAACTAAGATGATTAAGGGCCTGGAGACTAAAATATATGAGGAAGGGTTGCAGGAATTGGATATGGCCAGTCTAGAGAAAAGAAGGACTAGGGCAGACATGATAGCAGTATTCCAGTATTTGAGGTGCTGCCACAAAGAAGAGGGGGCCAATTTATTTTCCAAAGCACCAGAGGGCAGGAAAAGAAACAATGAATGGAAACTAATTAAGGAGAGAATCAACCTGGAATTAAGGAGTCACTTCCTAACAGTGAAAACAATTAAACAGTGGAACAGCTTGCCTTCAGAAGTTGTGGGCATTTCATCACTGGAGGTTTTTAAGAAGAGCCTTTCCAGTCGCTTGTCTGAAATAGTATAGGGTCT